AGCGAAAGCGCGGGGACCCTGGACCCGCCCCGCGGCACCTCACACCCCACAGGAGGAGAGGCCAGCGAACCTGCAGTCTCAGAGGCCAGGCCCCCTCAGCATTCCCAGTACATTCTCTGCGTGCGAATTAACTGAGCGTCACACAATCCTGACTCGCTTGTTTCTACAGCAAGGAGTAGGAAAGTCTGCAAATGAACGGGGAGAACAAGACTCTGCTGGTATTTTTGTTTGTTTTTAAAGGGGTATCTCAGCCAGAAAGGAAGAGTGAAATCACTTAACTTGGCTAAATGGGGACAGTGAATCTTACGGGCAAATGACAGGACCAAAGAGAAATAAGGGTAACTGACTTATTCTAAAGGCAGCCATTCTTAGCAAAGGTTAGAGAAAAAGAACTAAAATACATGAAATGTGTTTTCTAATAGGCCAAGTCAGCGCTATCACCAAATGTGCTCAATAGGGGAAAGTAAGACATAGAAAGAGCTGCTTCTCATCAGAGCCTCGTGCACGGGGCGCCGCTGGTGCGGAGGCCTCAGTGTGCGCTGGACACATGCCATGACCAGGGGTCCTCAAACTTTTTAAACAGGGGGCCAGTTCACTGTCCCTCAGACCGTTGGAGGGCCGGACTATAGTTTAAAAAAAAACTATGAACAAATTCCTATGCACACTGCACATATCTTATTTTGAAGTAAAAAAACAAAATGGGAACAAATACAATATTTGTATTTGCATGTGGCCCGCGGGCCGTAGTTTGAGGACCCCTGGCCATGACCATCACGCATAGATTTGGGACTTAACTGAGATGAAGCAATGTGCCTAGTAACACTGCATGACACTGTATTTTATTTTTTAAATCCTCACCTGAGGATATTTTTTCCATTGATTTATTTAGAGAATGGAGGGGAGGGAGTTGGGAGGAAGAGAGAAACACTGATGTGAGAGAGACATATCCATTGGTTGCCTCCCATTTCTATACTATAGAACAGTTACAGAGTGAGAATTACGGACAACAGATTCGAAAAGATTAAATTCTACAAACTAGTGAACACTTAAACCCCACAAAGTTATAACTTGAAATAGGAAGGAGCACAAATTCATAGCAATATAGTCCCAAATTAGAAAAGTGCAAGAACTCTTCCATGAGAAGTCTAAACAATTGCATGAAACACATAAATCACTACATTTTCAAGCAAGAAAAGTATAGCTTAGTCTTACCTTACTGCTCCAAAAGGCTGGAATAAAATTACTGACTTATAGAAGCAACTTTCACATGGATCTGAACATCAAACACAACACATGATATAAAATAAAAAAATAACTAGAACAGAAAAGTTTTCATTCTGACCTTAAAAATCCTGAGCAAATCACTGGATGAAGCCAGATCAAAGGCAGGGCATCACACCAGCTTGGAGCCATATGTGAAGGGCCCCAAATGCACAGGGCACAGCTGGTACACGGTTGGGGGAGGGACCACAAGCAGATCCAAAACATAAGGCAATAAACTTGCTTCAGCTTACACAGGTAAGACAGTTCGAAAGCATGAATAATTTTAAATACAACTGCTAAGATTTTACATTTGGGACAAATGGTGCAAACTAAAATGTGCTCACAAGTTTAAGCTCAAAAATCCTTTGGTGTAATAATGTAAATGAAATTAAAATCTCAGGGAGGATACAAGCAAAGAAGATAGTTACAACTTTTTATAACCTATGCAGTGGTTGTGAGCCAAACTACCTGATTAAGGTCTGAGACATTTGGAAGAAATTTAATCTAGGCTCACAGAATTAACAGCTGTATTTGAAAACAGAAACCCTGTAAGTTTATTAAAATGCTCCAAGTCTCTTAATATTCTCCATTCATCATAATGTAAAGTGCTAAAATTAAAATTTTCACCTTCTTAAACCTTTAATAAAAGTTGCCTTTTTATATGTAAAAAGATGAGGTAGCATTAATTTTCTATAGAAAACACAGAAGCAATCATTTACTTCATGCTCATTTCTATAATGCTAAGTTGCCAGTTTAATAATTCCCAAATAAACACTTGTTCCAAATATAGAAGTTAAAAAAAATTCTCTTCCTTGAACATTAGAAGTTGAAATTTCCATAATGAAATCTTGCATTTCATTAAATGAGTTAACTGTTTTCGGGCAGCAACCAAAACAAAAACACTCAACACAGACTCCGTCAGCCTCGTGCTTCTGAAGGACATGAGAGCACAGAATATCCAAAAGGCGGTTTGATTGGATATTCTAGGCAGGGACGCCCACCACACACACACAATGGGAACTCAGGAGCAATGAGGAACAGAAGTGTTGACTCACAGTGACTTTGCTGAGCATTCCTACGGGGCAGGGAATTCTTTTCTGGTTCTTACACTTGCAGTTTAGTAACAGTTCTGCTAAGCTACATCTACGAGTGGCCGTTAGTTTCCGTGGAAATTCACTCTCAGGCCCGCTGGCCGTCGTGTGAGCAGTCCTGTGCTCCTGTCCAGGCAATTTCATAGCTCTGCGCGTTCACGTAATCTGCCCAGCAATGCTGAACCCCGAGGCCAGCAGACGCTATGGAAAAGCACGGATGGAGGGACTACTGCTTCTGAGTGTTAACGTCTGTTCTCTGAACAGGCTGAACTGGTGTTTAGAAGAGGAGGCCGCTGTGAAGGGAGGTTTTCTATTAGGACAGCAGAGCGGCCCTGCCCTGCTGCAGGCCTCCCGGCCTCTCCCCAGCAGCACCAACCGCTCTGCAAGGCTCTGCAGGCTTCCCAGCGTGTTACACATCCTGACGGGTCACTGGGTGCTGGGGGCGGGAGGCTTTCCTCCTTGTGGGGCAGGAGGGAGTCAGGGGCGCCCTCAGGGAGGTCTGAGGACCATCTCCTCAGCACCAGGGGGCAGCGGCTGGAAAGGCCGGCCAGGCCTGGGCGCACTGGGCGGGGAGGCTGCGCACTCAGTGAGCGCCCCTGACTGCCCCGCGCCAGGGCTGGGAGCACAATGATCTCCGAGGTCCCTTCCACTCTAAAATTCTGAGTCTGCTTCTCTCAGAGCGTGTGCGGGCAGCTGGGTGACCCTGTGCAGCAGCGGAGGTGACTTCCGACCTAAGTCAGAAGTGTTCCCAGAGACTCCCGAGGACAGAGGCAATCGGACCGGAGGGCAGCTGGCACATGTGCGGGGATCTGTCTGGTTTCCCGGGAGGCGTGGCGGAGCCCTCCCTCTTGTCTTCCTGCCTGCCCACTCCTCTCAGCTGTGAGAGAACTTCCTGGGACTTTTACAATCCTGAGTTACCAAACTCTTAAGTAATTTTTAATTGATCTGAATTGATCTGATCTTTTAAGAAATAAACTACTACAGGCAGTCCTCTACTTTCATTTATAATGAGTGAAATCTTACAGAAACACAGAATACAGGAAAAGTCAAACAGTAGACACATTTTAAAAGGGGAGTTATATATTCACAAAGCTAAAAAAATCAAACTGCAATTTTACTTCTCCCTTTGGGCACAATATTGAGAAAGTATTTCCTACATGTTCCTTTATTTCATTCTTTCTCTTTAGAACTGCTTAAAGGCTCTATGAGAGCCTAAGAGTTGTGAGTTTTAAGCACATCTGGAGAATTCTATCTGACGGTTTATTAGGTGCAGGAGAGCTAAACCTCTACTGGTAGTACCACATTTTATAAAATCCTAAGAGCAAAATGCAGGACTCTCAAAATAATTACACAAACAGCTGAATAAACTGTGCGCCCAGCCAGGGTGGGCGGGAGGGCAGCGCCACCATGCGATGGCTCTGCAAGGCGTGGGCTGGTGTAAGGACAGGTTCTCCCAGTAACGCCCCGCCCCCTGCCAGTCAGGCCCCTTTCCGACGGCCCTGTGGCCCCGCTGCAGGCAGAGCGCAGGGACAAGCGGGCAGGCACCGTTTCTGGCAAGGAAGCCTCATCCGTGGCCAGATGGCAGACTTGGTGCTGCCTGGAGGCTTGCGGGGGGGTCAGGCTGATGCGGCTCTCAGGCTAAGGAACCTGGACTCGGGGGCGGGGGGCGGGGGGCGGCGCTGCAGACTTCCAAGCCCAGCTCTGTGCTTGGTAGCCCATGTCCTCGACCAAAGCGCAGGTGGGTGGGTGGACTGTGCATTGCGTCTATGGGCCCAATTTACTCAAAACTTCTTTCAGCTATAAAGTCTGTGCCTGGGTACATGAGCTAAATTCAAGAAGAAAGGTGAGAAGGCTAGAGTCAGTTTATTAGATTTGTTTTTCTTTTCATTTTTTCTCCATCAACTATACCATAAATTTAACAGCCACGTTATAGTAAATAATAGTTTACTATATATAGTTTACGCGTGCTCGCTGTAAACTCTCCCCTCGTATTAAAAATGGGGAGGAGTGGCGAGTGCAGGGAGGAGTGCTGGGAGGAGGTGGAATCAGACAGTGCCCTCTCAGTGAGAAGCAGCCCTCCCCTGTCACAGGGCCGTTCCCCATGTTAATAGGCACGCCTGCTCCCTCGGCTGGGCCTCACGGGAGTGAGGAAGCATCGGCTCCAGCCCCTGGCTCTGCATCCTAGGCCCTGGAACCCAGGCAAGAAGAGGGCCCTCTGGCCCCGTGTGCACCTGCTAGGACTGGCTGAACACACTCCAGAACCTGACTGAGAGGCCCACGTCCCCGGCACTGGCCGAGATGGGTGCGCTGCCCCAGCAGACAAGTCACATGCTCCACAAAAGTTCCTTGTCTCAGAAGAGTATTGGCTTCTTTAATCCAAGAAGGTAAGGAGAGGCTTTTAACTGATTACATTAGGTTAGCTCATACATCTCTTATGAGCTAAATATTCAATTAAACATTTTTGAAAGCAAAACCTGACAAAATCCTCTCTTAAAGTGACTTAGGTGATAAGTTCTTAAACAAACTAACTCCTTCCCCCCACTGGCATTTCCACAGGATCACAACAAGCCCCCGGGACAGAAACCCACTTTGTGTGTGAACCCGTGTTTCATGATCATAAACAATATAAACTAGGAAACATTAATGTGAGCCTAACATTCCTAATTTTATTTTATTTTATTACTTTAAAAGCTATATACATGCAAAAGTTGAACATATCACAATGCCTTTAAATAAAGTTCGAAAATAAAATTACTTCAAAATCCATTTACTTATGAAAATGTATATGACAATTATGATGAAGATAAGTCAATTATATCCTTTTCTAATCTATCAGAAAAATACTTATATTATAAAAAAGAATTTTAATTCATGTCCAGAATAATTTTTAAATTCTTGATGAATAATAAAAACAAGTTGGACGTTAGTACAATCTTTAAAGCAACAAGTTTCAGGCTTTTGAAAAATGGGTCTGATATCCTATACCTCATTTAAAAATCACTGAAGAAACTCAAGTTTAGAAACAAAGCATTTTTTAAAAAACTATGACCATTGTTATTATGGTTGACATGGTTAGGGATGCAAATGAAGGGCACGGCTTTCATAAATAGATGCTGCAGAAAGTCCACTCAAATGTTTGAAGAACTTTATTTACAAACACAGGTTGGAGGCCTGCAGGACCTCCCTGGCTCTCTGCTGGAGAGTAAAAATCTTGGGTCCAATGAAGCTCTGAGCACCCGGCCCTGCTGTGTGATGTGTAAGCGTGTGCGAGCGACCCTGGCGCCAAAGGTCACTAGGAGGACAGGCAGCTTCAAGCGACCCCCTCAGGCAAAAGCAGAAGCCGGCGGTCAGGGCGTGAGACAGGGTGCTTTGAGCAGGTCTCAGCGTTCCAAAGTGTGGCCGTTTCCTTCCAGTGAAACCAGAATTTCTTTGGTAACAGAGTACAATATAGATTAACAACTCCAAAAATTAATATGAATAAATATGCACTCCAAGTTCAACTTTGTAAATGTTCACATTCATTTTGGAAAGGAGATTTAACTTCCTGCCCCGAAATGAAAAAAAGGCAAAGCTGCCCATTTTGGGGGACTACTGATTACTGGCATGACACAATCTGAGCAGGAAAAGGGGGCATTTAACAAAAGGTGTCTATCGATGTGGAGAGCCCCAGGTGGGCACACGTCCGAAATGTGGGAGAAGCAACTTCACAAGCAACTAGAGTTCTCTCCTCTGAAACCAGAAGAAGGGGCTTCTCATCTGGGGAAGCCCGTCACCGTCTCACCTTCCTGTGAAAAGGCCCGACTGACACTCGGTTAGAAATAAGTTCACAGAGTCCAAACCTAGAGTTTGAGTTGTATCCTGATACTCAAGTGTCATTACAGTTTTCATGTGAGTTAACCCAACGATTACTTTCCTTTTATAGCTATGAAAAGAAGTTTTAAAAAGGAAAAATAAAAGATGTGTGTGCTGTCAGTGCAACATCTGAGTAAGTGTGGTTTTGCTTCTCCCAAACACAGAAAAAACAATGCCCAGTACATGGTACATAGGAGTGTGTCACCACCAGGAATAACCAAGACAGGTCTCACCAGCGGGCTTCCTGCGAGAACAGCGTGGTTTCCGAAGCAGTCCTGTCACGAGGATGCATGTCCTATGACTAGGTACAGCCCCACCACTTAAAGGGACTGATTTCCTGCACCTCCACGAAAGGAGAGTGCACAAAACAATAATTAGACCAAAAACGGAATTTAAAAGGGCAAAAAAATTGGAGTGAAAAGAACACAGAAAGCAAAAACCAAAAAACAAAACCAAGCAATGTGACGGTGGAAACCCACAGCCCCCCCACCCCACCTGCCACTTGGAGTCCTAACTGCCCGTCTGCAGGACAGAAACCCACTAAGTGACCAGCATCGGGCTTCGGCAAGTCTTCTCTTCACTCTCCCTCCTGTTAAGACCGTTTCCAAAACCAATCAGCAAAGGACAAAGAATTCTTTACAGAGTGCAATTAGTGCTTTCCACGTCCACCTTCAAAAGCATGATGCTCTTCATGGGCTAAAGGACAGAAAAAAACAAAAAAGAAAAAAAGGAAAGAAAACTTTAAGCAAAGGATGGGGCAACCCTTCTCTAAGGCATCTATCTCACTGTTTCCCCAAATGTTGGCAAGAACTCAAATACCTTTCTGTGCCAGTGACTGAGCGCAGGCGTGCATTTCCTGGGAACGTGATCATGAACATTAAACAAGGAATAAGCACGCAGCGGCACGCGGCCTGTTTCTTTCTCTGTGCCGGAGGGTGCGTCATCCGACAAGCTGATGGGGAGAACACGTTGGGCTCCGAGCAAATGCCGCAGGGAAAACGCACCCACAGAACGCATGCGTAGGGAGGGACCTCCTGTTACCCAGGCAGGCCACTGGCGCACGAGCCTGCCTTTAGAAATAAAATAGAACCAAACCAAACCAAAACAAAGAACAACCGGGGGTAGCAATGATGTCTCCACCTCTGAACGCCCTCTGTGGGAAACGAAAGCCCAGAAAGTGGATGGGTTTTTATTTTTCCCAAGCATATTTCCTCCTCCCAGCTCTACTGCCTGGCTTTCAAAATTACTAACGACATTTAAAAAAACTCGAGAATAAAAAAATTATCAAACCTATTTTTCAAAGACTTAACATTTAAAAAGTGGAAGTGGGAAATGGGAGATGGGAAGTCTGGTGGCAAGTGCAGACCCCTGACTCTGCCCCGGCCCTACCCACCCCCACAGTGGAGGTGTCCAGGAAGGCCTGGCGGCCCATTCGCCTCTGAGGTTCCTCCCAGAATTTAGTCCTGGTTTCCACAGCCACTCCATCTTCCCTGCAGGATCCGGCCTGCTCAGCCCGCCTTCTCTTCTCCTGGACAAAACACTGAGAGCAGCACACCTATGTTCTCCTGAGGGTGGCCTGGCATGCAAACTGGTTTAACTGAACAGTTCTCGCGAGGAGAAATACAGATATTTAGCTTTTTATGTGTGTTTTTTTTTCTTTTTTAAGGAAGACTTTCAGGGCAGACACATGAAAACTGGTCTGGTCTGCAATCAAGTAGGCAGTACCGCTGGTCACATGGGGAGCCACGCCCCTCAGCAACTCTGGGCTCTGGGGATAAAAATCCAGAGACCTGAGCCCTGGGCGGCATGGCTCAGGGGATAGAGCGTCAGCCCTTGGACTGAAGGGTCTCAGGTTTGATTCTGATTAAGGACATGTACCTTAGTTGCAGGCTTGATCCCTGGTCCTGCTTGGGGCGCGTGTGGGAGGCAACCAATCAATATGTCTCTTTCACATCGATGTTTCTCTGTCTCTCCCTGTCCCTTCCACTTTCTCTAAAAATCAATGGGAAAAATATCCTCAGGTGAGGAAAAACAAAAAAATAAAAATAAAGAGATCCGAACTATCCTAAGACTTCCTGACTTCTGAGAGTGAGGGGCCCGTGGTGTGGCACGGATGGGCCATGGAGCCTGCACGGGCTGGGAGAGGCCTGGGGCAGAGGGCGTCTGCGTGCCTCAGCCTGGAGAGAGGCAACACAGAAATGCTCAAACCCAGGACTCCGCAAACTTTTTCTGGGAAGGGGCACAGGTTAAAGATTTTAGGCTTTGCAGGCCATAGGGTCTCTGTGCCAATTGCTAACTCTGCCACTGTGCCATGAAGCAAACATAGATGATATGTATACACATGGGCATTGCTAGGTGCCAATATGCCTTCTACATACATGACACTGACAGGTACATTTCACACAGTTTTCATGCATTGTAGGTCTTTTCTGTTTTTTTTTTCAACCGTTTGAAAATGTGAAAACCACTTAGTTGCAGCCCCAAAACAGGCAACGAGGGGCCAAATTTGGCTTGAAGTCCATAGTTTGCCAACCTCTGCTCTAAACTCTCACATCAGAAAAGACATCTGCCATTCAGCTGCTCTGCTAACCTAACAGAATTTGGGGAGAGGGCTCTCTATACATTAGCAGTTTCTTGGTCAAATAACCAATCTTTATCCAAATCTTATATAAACTTATCAACACTCGATTCTTATCCACCCTGTGGGGGAGTCTGCCGTGTTGCCGGGCTGTGCGCCCTGTGAAGAAATTCTCACACCGGGTCCCAGGAGCACGGCAGATGCAGGCAGGTGGCCATTTTCTTTTTCTTTTTTTTTTTTTAAATATATTTTATTGATTTTCTACAGAGAGGAAGGGAGAGAGATAGAGAGTTAGAAACATCGATGAGAGAGGAACATCGATCAGCTGCCTCCTGCACATCTCCCACTGGGGATGTGCCCGCAACCCAGGTACATGCCCTTGACCGGAATCGAACCTGGGACCCTTCAGTCCGCAAGCCGACGCTCTATCCACTGAGCCAAACCGGCTTCGGCGACAGGTGGCCATTTTCACCCAGCTCACTCCACACTGCTCCTCATCAAGCTGTGAATCACTTTCTGCCCAAACCTCAGTTTTCCAAATCAAGTCTGTAGCACATAGAACTCTACTGAGTAAAGGACTGCCTGCTTTTTATAAAATAAAGAGAATTACATCTTTTTTTCCAATTCAAAATTTTATTTGAATAACCTTAGCGTTTTTAGATGTTAATTTACACCATTACAATATGGACTCCACTGAGACCTGTAGCTGGTGCTGCATCACCCACGAGCTTGCCAATGGAATCTATCTTTAGGGGCCTGTTCAGCTGAGTCAGCCGGCCCCGCTGTGGCCAGCTCTCCCTTTGTTGGGCTCCCCACGCGCCTGCCCATCACAGAGCTAAGCAGGGGCTCACTCAGTCTCACCTGCTGGCTGCCACTGCCCTAAAAAACGGCCTCATCACTCTGTGGCCAAATTACCTAATGACACCCTCATATCACGCTGGACCTGCTGCTAACCAACATGGTACCTGGAAATGTAATCACATAATTTTGAAGTAGAAGGGACCTTGGAGATCATTTAAGACCAACCTCTTGGCTACTTAAATGAGAGTGCGGATGACAAGGTGACTGGCTGAAGGTCACCGCTGAGGCAAGCCCGAGTGCCTGACAGTTGTCTGCACCGCCTCTCCTCTCTGTGTGACAGTGGCGCGGGTTCGAGGGCGGGAAGGGTGCGTAGCCCCATCACAAATGGCAGCGCGAGGCTCCCTTCCAGAGAGTTCCTGCTGTGGTTTACCCCTCAATGGCCTTTCAATGAACATTTGGACTGAAGATGCAATTCCTGCTCCCTAAGGAATGACCACTGTCTCTACAATGTGCACTTGCTCCACCACACAGCAGCGAAGGACTTCTGCCCGCAGCTTTGTCTCTTATGTAAACTGTCGCCTGACATCGGAAGTTGGGCGTCGCCTGAATACATGCGGCAGCTGCGGGTCTCAGTCATTCCGCCTGATGTGTGACTTCTGAAGGAACAAAATTTTATTTTTCCCTCCTTTTTTGGCAAGGGGGCTGAGAAAAATGAAGCAATAAATGAAGCCTTTTTAGCAATTCTAAGATGTGCCTCCTTCCCCCTGGGGCACCCCGGGATCAACAGTGTGTCCGCTTTCCTGGGAGCCTTTTCCTTTCCTTTCCTAGGAATTCTAAAATGATGCTTATCACTGGGGCACCTTCGAGCCAGTGGGTTACAGGAGTTAAACACTGGGCTGCTGGCTCTCGATCAGTTTGGGAAACAGGAAATGTGCCCGCAGCAGGGCGGCCGTGCTGCGCTCAGCAGCTCACTGGCGCCTGCGGCCCGAGGTGAGAGCTACCAAACAGGGGTTTAATGGCGCTAGCCTGTTTTCATTTGGACAAAAATGACTTTTTCAAAAGAGCACACAAAGCAATGAACACGAATCATTGATGGAAACAATGGGTCCACACACCTAGTCATACTTGAACGTGTCACCCATCCCTCGTTCTGTGTCCCCGTCACCGCCAGGCAGTGTGGGCGTCTCAGCAGAACATCCCGTCCCTGTGCTCAGCTCCTCCACGAACACAGATGCCACACACGACAGACCCCTGCTGCTGGGGGATGACTGAGACCTACCTGCCAGCTCAGACAGCAGCATTTGGTTATTGTTGCTTAACATAGAAGGTGATTTTTTCTGAGAACGCCAAATTCAAAATCAGGTTTAAATTTTTGAAATGATAAAGACAAGGTGTATCTCCTTCTCTGATGCATGCATTTACTAGTAGGCAAGAATTAATCTCATTCTAACTTCTGAGACTAAACTTTTGAAAAAACACTTAAATGTTTTCATAAATACTTTCTGAATTATAGAATTTCAAGTGATTCTGCCTTCACCTCATTTGCAACACAGTTTCTATTTTTAAAAGTATGACAGGATTATCTAGAAAGTAATAACTGGAAAGAAGCACTTACGTTTATAAAATACTGCTTTAAAAGATATGTGGGGCAGGAGTTCATAGATCTTTTCTAAAACGGTTGCTTCGCCCACTAGAGAGGCATTTACATTCCAGACTTGGACCACATCGTCTCGGTCCCGAACGCTAACGCTGACGCCTATGACTTCGTCATCTGAGGGAAGACAGGGAAAAAGGAATGAGCGACAATTTCAGGTCTGCCAGCTTTGTTTTCTAAGCACTTATCATTTTATCTGTAAGTTATGAATAAGATAAAAAGAAGTGGCACAAGAGCACCATAACAAATACTTGTTTCTAAAGAGAACTGTTGGACAAAAAGCAAGTTATTGGGCGAAAGCTGTAACAATCACATCACATTTGACCAGGGATTCGATAAACAAAGGATTCTAGCCAAACGCATTTCCAGGTAAGTGGTTCATCCTTTCTGACACGTTGCCAACACTTCTGACTATTCCTCACTGTGTTGAGGAGACCTTTTCTAAAATGAGTGGGTAGCTCTGCCCTCCGAGAGCCAAGTGAGCGCACGTGCACTTGCCTCCGTGCTCTACCGTCTTTGCTGAAACGGAGGTCTTTCTCCTCACTCCCTGCCAAGCGGTCAGCTAGCCTGAGGTGGTTAGTACTCTTCGCCCCAACACTAACTGGGCCCAGACTGTGCATTTCGAGTTGCTCTGCCTGCTTTTTGTGGTTTGTCTCCTTTCCTATGAATTCTCCTGGTTCTCCAGTGCCTCACTCCCGTTCTGTGTGTGGACTTGGAGGCTGTGGGCTAGAGAATCCATGACCATCTATCTGTTAGCGCCGTGCATGAAGCAAGAGAACATGCTTCCTGAGGGAGGCTCTGCTGTGACAGTGCTACAGCGGGTGGACGTGCGAGCATTTACCCACATTAATTCATGGAGGTCTTTTTAAAACCACTACATTATGGAGGTAGGGTACCTTGTCGATATCTGAGAATGGCAGCTGGAGAAGTAAGGCTTTGCTCTACTCTCACACGCTCCCTTGCAGCCACTGTGTGTGGGCTAAAGCCTTCTGACTCCTGGTTTTTATGTGTTTACGGCTCACTAATGAGCCAGGGTCAGCTCTCTGCACCTGCACACTCCACACCAATAAGTGAAATGAGAAAGGTAAGCATCGAAAGTAGACAGTGTCGCTTTAATAAACATGCTTTGCTTAATTTGCTGTAAATCAAAGTAAACATTTCCTTTCTTTCCTCCTTCCTTCTCTTCCTCAGTTTCTCTCTTCTTTATTTCTTTTTTAAATGAATCTGGTCCAGCTAAACATTTATAATTTGACACTAAATGGTTCCATTTTCACAAATGTGCGATGTTGCAGGTGGATGGGCGGCCAGTTGGGAAGGAGGGCGAGGAGGGGCCCTGGGTGCTCGGTGCAGGGTCTGTCTCCTTGCAAACAGTTATCAAGCTCTGCACGTTACAGCTGGTACTCTTTCCTATGAATGTCACATTTACCAAAAATTTCCAAAAAACGAAATAGTCCCTGATCACAGCCATTCAACAGGGACTTATTATTCCATCAAAACCTTTGTTTTATTTACACCTTCAAAATATACTTCTGGAGCTCACCTCCATTAAATTTCATGTGAATATAAAAGCACCGAGTGAAGAGGGGAGCCCTGCAGTTTATCCCTTTCAGGAATGGCCATGAGGTCGTTGCTCAGCCCTCAGCATCCCAGCCCTGCCACTGCCCACTTCTGCACCCTGGCCAGAGGGTGCGGCGGCCAGTGTCAGCCTGGCATGGCGCTGGCCGCAGGCACAGCTCCTGTGCCCAGGCAGGCCCCTCAGCAAGCATGGAACAGCCCGAAGCGGGTCGGTCGCAGAGCCTGGTTAGTTTGGGACATCACAGCCAGGGGAGCGAGGCTCAAGGAGTATGTGTGGCCGAGATGAGCTGACTGGCTGCAAGCGGCAGAGCCAGGTTCCTGGGAGGCTAATGGTTCATCGTTAACGGAGCTGCCCTTTCCCGAGTCAACCACAGAACAACAGGTCTCCTTTCCTTAATCCTGCTATTTATTATCTCTAGGTAACTTTCCCTGGTTCTGGAAACGAATAATTCATACGGAAAACTTCCTATCCCAGGGATGTCTGTATTTATAATTATACCTCGGACGCATTTTGGCTGCAATATTGTGAAGTTGCTAACCACTCCCTGTTAAAATAAAAGGACTCTTATTTTTAAGACAATTTCATCTAACCCAGGTTTTGTCTTAATAAAAAAAAAGTGGTGTAAAAAGAAAGCAAAACAAAAGCAGAATTTTTGGAACTGCCGGTGGATGAGCTGGAAGCTCGCCATGGCCCGGCCCCTAAAGATCACACAGCCAACAAACACAGCTACTGGCAAATTAGTTAACACCAATTTGTTTTAAAAAATCGTAACTGAAAGCTGAACAGAAAAAAATGTTATCCTAATGTTACCTCAGGATCATCCAGAGGAACTACCCATGAAAAACACAACTTGAAACGAGCAGTTCTTTGAGTGGTTTCATACAAAAAAAGCAAAATAAAAATGTACTCTTGGGGGCTCTCAGAAATTCACTCAGTATTTGAAAGTGGTCTCCAAAGTCAAGTTCTGAAGACCTTATATTTTAGCCTCAATTGTGGGAGGTCACAGCCAATAATGTTGCCCACCCCTTATCACACCCTGTGAGCAGGGGACCCCAGGGACCGGAGGAGGGGCAGGGACTGGAGGGACAGGAAGAATTGTGTCCACCTAACACCAGCTCTAAGAGCCCACTGGGAACCACGCTTCCTTTCCTTTCTGCCTGTTTGCCTTGGAGAGAGGACCACAGATACTGTTAAGATGAGTTATGAGGGCACATACACATGCATATACACAGACATAAATATAGTAGATACACATGTAAATATGCATGTGTCCATACACACATAACACTAAATGCCACAATCACATGAAAAAATCTAAGTAACTTCACAATACAAAATAAACAACTTCAAAACATGTAAAAAGTCAAACACACAAACTTCTGCAAGTACCACGACAAGGCAAGCACCCACCCGCGCGGCCCTTTACCTGCTGCGGCACAGCCTGCGAACTGTTCCCCGATAGTCGCTAACAACAACTCTTTCCAAACTGTGGACTGGTGTGAAAAAAGAATAGAAAACAAAAAGCAAAACCAAAAATACAACATACATATATTTTTAGACAATTATATCCAGGAACTAAGAAAGTCCCATTTTCCGCAACCTGTGTACTTTCCACGCCCGTGTCTAGAGCCCACAGACACCTCCAAGCAACAGGTGTAAACAGGCGGCCTGTGCCGTGTTGCTCCCCGAGTAACTGGGACAGGTGCAGTGACCCAGAGTCACTAACTTTGTGTCCCAAAACCTTGGTGTCCTTCATCACAAAGCTAATTTCTAGTGACACCCGGATGAAATTAATGGGGGGGGGGTGCATTCAAATGGCATCATTTTCTGATTTATTTACCTCTTTCTAGTTACACTTGAATGCTATTAGTAAAACCCTTCTCTTCAAAACCCTCCTCTCTGTTCTCCTTGCAGTTTCTAAGGTACTTTAAAGGTTCGCCAGTAAAGAGCGCTTCAGGTTTCTGGGTTACTGAATACCAGACACATGCAAATGCCCATTCCCTCCAGACGTCTGCGCTACTGACAGGCGCTATGAGTCTGTGTGTGCGTTTCCACAGAAAACAGTGGTGTCTGCTCTACCTCCTACCAGCGAGAAACAATGGAGTCCTTTCTACTCAAGAGCCATACAGGTTCCCGAGGCCTAGAAGTCCTTCCAGCTGCCCCCTGAAAAGGTCTTGGTCCCGCTTATCCCCTCGCCTGGTTCACAGGCTCTGAACTCTCCCAGAACTGGGTCTGTCCCAACAGGCTGCTTAGCGCCTGTGGGCCTGGCTGGGCAGCCACCAGCTGCTCTGAGTGTGTTTCTAGAGGCCAACGGGGAACAATAGGGCTGACCACTCAGGGTTGCCTTGACCACAAATTAGTCAACAAATGCACTCAAAGGACTCACCGTTTCATAACTAGCTGCATGCTCGCTCTACCCCAGGGGCTCAGTCCATGTGAACCGCATCAGCGCTTACCATGCCGTTCTAATGAGCCGAAGGCAGCCTCGCTGGACTGTTACCCCAGATGACAGTTAGCCATCATGACCTCTTCCTCTCAAGAAGGGGTTTCTTTTCCTTCTCTTTTCTGGGCTACTTGTCTCCCATCTAGAAACCATCCCTTCTATTTTGTCTGTCCCAGCTGGAGTCCCTCACACGCTTGGTGATGAAGCTGAGGGAGAGGGAAAGTCCCATCCTGTTTCGGGGGCACACAGGCTGGCCCACCAGACTCCCACTCGTTGACAAGTAGGCGGGCACCGCACTGCACAGGGAGCTGATGCCTGCACAGACGTGCAGTGTATCATGTGGGACCGAGAGTGGCCAGGGGCACTAACAAGGAAGGGCGTGCCTCCGGCCTCTTCCCGGAAAGCTGCCATCAGGAGTGTTTCTACTAGAATCCAAAGCCTAGTGTCAGAAAACAGCATGAGAAGGAAAACTTGTTCTTATTGAAATTTAAAAACCTACATCCTCTCTTCTCTCTTCTTACACTATCTACTTCCTCTCCTTCTTAAGGGGACAGAGTGGAGGCCCAGGCCTTACCTGCCTGCCTGGGCATTTGCTTCCTGGCATGTTTTATTACGGAGGCCAAACAACAGGCAAATTTTGGAGCTATACATCCTGACTGAGCTCGCGTCTTTAACAAATAAATCTGGCTGCATCTTTAGGTCTGTGCTTATAGGAGAATGACTCCAGCTTAAGCCTAGGGGTCCTGGAGACACTGCAATGCTCTGAGCTTATCCACATGAAAGAAACCTCGAAAAGGTGAGAATGGGTAGCATCTGCCTTATCAGCTATTTTCAAAGAAGCCCTTTGGTTTCCCAGGGCTTAGGAACAGATTTGAACATTCACTTTCAGACACTATGATACAAGAGAGCCCCCCCACCCCCACCCCGGGGAGATGGAGGTTTCTAAGGCTTGGCCACAGAAAACCAGCATCCCACCAGGCCCTCCCTCCAAACAGCTCTCATCAGCCTCGCAGGAAACCCCGCTCGCCATGCCATGGTCGTCCTCAGAACCATGTGCCCGTCTCCACGAGCCTTTGGTGGGAAGGACCCTGCTTCTCACGTTGTAAAACCAACATCCACATGCTAGTTACGCTTGGTGCGGAAAGACGGTAAGCTTTCTGTAAAAGCTTATGCATTTAGCTCTTCAGATTATGACACAGTAAAAGGACTGCACCACCTCCACAGAGAAGCACAGGGCATAATCGCAAGGCAGTATGTAAGGCAAAACCCCACCAGGGTCAGCACAGAGCTTCGCCCCCCAGGCCTGTTCTGAGGCCACCAGGCAGGCTGTGGGAGGCACAAAATGTATCAGCTGCAATCAAGCCCCCCGGCTCAGCCAGCTCTAGGAAAGGGTCAGCGCACCTACCGTGCTGTCCTTGGGCACTTTCATCTTCCACACGCCGCCCTTCGCATTACTCTCCTCTTCCCTGGGTCAAAGACCAACGTCTAAAGTTATACTCAAGCATTAAGTGGTTGTACATACATTTACTTTAACAACAGATGACATTAAAAACAAAAAACAACCAGTATTCTTCAATAAACTCTCCCCCAGTCCTTTTATTGAAAACAGACGTAGATGAAATAAAAAGAATGGGGGTGGAAGGAAGAGGGAGGAAAGTGGAATTCAGTGACCACAAGGGCAGGGAGGGGATGCACACCCAGCCCTCACCCTAGACGAGCAGGTGGACAAACTAGCGCAGTGCTCCGCCAGGGAAGGGCCTCCACCTGCAGCACAGGATGAGGGCATTGCTGCTGGGTCTCCTGGGAGCCCCAGCCCCTTGGTGGGATGGGCTCTGTCTTCCTGTGTAGTATCTGTTTCCTCTCTGGTAAGAGCATCCAGACTGCTCCGTAAGGAGCCACGTGTCCCCACTCTGTGCCAGACCCACTCCGCTGGGGTGACTGCACACACTGCTTCAAGGACGGGTGCTTGTGATCCCCGTGTGAGCCAATGGGAGCAGCCCTGCTCCCTTCCTGGGTGGTGAAGCTGACAGGAATAACCTTGTAGGATGCAAGACTGGAGGTACTGTGAGCCATCTGCCACCCCTGATGGGAGAGCCTGAGAACTGAACCAACGGGAGGAGAACAGCAGGTCCGACAGAGCGAGCGCCCGGCTCTGCAGCACCTGAGCACCACCTGCCAGCCTCAGTCCCTCCCTGGATGCTCAGCTATAGGCCTCAACTCCACTTTTTGGCTCAGATTTCACTCCTGTCATTTGCTACCAAAGAAGATGACATACATTCCCATTTTATTCATGAGTATGTAACTCAGAACAGCTGAGGCACATGCTGTAAGGACGTGCTACTAACTGGGACTCCAGCCCAGGCACACTGGCCTTGTCCCCCATCACTGCACTGAGGGATCAGAGGACGTCCCTGCCCACAGCATTCTGCGAGAGAACGATTTGCATATTAGGCTTTTATCATGGGCCAGAGGTGTCTGGTGACATGAACTTGTTCCACACAACAGGGTGGAACCCCCATCTGTCCCTCAACCCCCCACCAACTGCACAGTCCTGACTGACCACCTAGATGGTGCACACCGCCAAGGGCCGCGCCACACCTCAGAGCCTAGCCAGGGCTGTGAGACCGAGCGGGCCTCAGGGAAGAGCGCCCAGAAACCCTGCCGCCATCCTAGCCCTGTGAGCGGGTGGTGGGAGGGGCTCGGTTCATGATTAAGTAATAGCTGGAATGACATCAGCACCTGCAGAGAAGAGCTTTGCACTCCAATTCGGCACCAAGTACTTAACGAGGGGACAATCACCCCCTCCCCCAACCTCGGCTCAACCCTGGACACTTACCAAAGTGGTCGCCTCTCTCCTCTCATTAAATGATAGCTACATCTCAAAGGCAGGCTGGCCACAGGAGGGATATTATTGTACACGCTCCAGAATATCTTTAAAAGAAAAACACTTCATTTAATATATCCTGTATTGATTTTTACTATGCCACTAGATTATAAAATTAATGAATTAAAGAAAAAAATCAAATCCTCATTAAGTCCTATCCATTCAAAATGGGTTTTTCTCAGTGTTTTTTTCTAATTTTCTGCTAGACAATGTTAACATGACACGAAACAGCATTCCTGGCTGCAGTGGGGCCACGTTCTATGCCTCGCATGCGGTGGTCTCCAAGCAAACACTCCTCTGCATTCGCCTCCACACGACGCTGGGGATGGGCCTCGCAACGCCTGGAGGCCCAGCCTCTAGGACTGTGAGAAATACATTTCTGATGTTGAAGCCACCTGTCTATGGAATTCTGTTAGAGCAGCCAGAACTAACGAAGACAGAGTGGCTGGTAGACAGAAACATTATATAAAAACTAGAGGCCCAATGCACGAAATTCATGCACGGGTAGGGTCCCTAGGCCTGGCTGGTGATTAGGGCCAATCTGTGGGGTGACCAGCGGGGCAATCGGGGGCCCCCGCTGGCACCCACCTTGGCTGGCCTGGGGCCTGAGGGCTGGGGCAGATCCTGCGTGGGGCATCTGCCCCTGGTGGTCAGTGCACGTCATAGCGACCGGTCATCCCATTGTTCGGTCGATTTGCGTATTAGGCTTTTATTATATAGGACAACGAGTGATAGGAATAGCAGTACTAGCCACAGGGACGGGGCCAGGCCTGGACTCTGAAATGTGCATGTCTGTGTGTCCGTCCTAATGGCCGTCCCACCGGAGGCTCATAGGAAAGGAAACAGAGGCTGAGTCTAACCTGCTCGAGCATCACTGTTCCGTGTGGTCATTAGGTTTAGATGAGAATTAGGTTTACGAAGAGCCAACCTTTCCCAGCTCGTGTGGAAGGGGCTATAGAACCCCTCTGTGAGGACTGTGGGAACACCCTCCAGCATGGTACGCTGAGCAGAGGGGACGTGCCCCTGGCGGGTCCGACAGGAACAGCGCAGCCACAGGACAAGGAGCCCCAAGACTGAGGAAGCGGCAGGGCTGGGGCGGGGGTGGGGGACGTCCTCTAGGCTGAACGTGGATGCTGAGACTGTCTTGTGAAAAAATTAAAGTAGAACTAATTGCCAGGACAACCCTCACAGGCCACGCGGAAACCCCGCTTCCTCCCTGTGTACCAGGGCCAGGACCGCGACCTCACTGGGTGACTCAGGGATCAGGTGGGAGTGAAAGTGTGCGGTGAGCCTAACGTGATGACGCAGGAGTCAGACCAAGAGGCCCACCTGCTGAATCCCAGCTCCCACTTCTGATGGCAACTCTGCCACTGGACAGTCTTCTGCCAGTGAAATGATCATCTTTCATTTCAGGGAAACTGGCAAATTTCCTCCTGGAATGTTCCCAAGAAAAACAGAACCTTCGGTGTACCAGTGCCCTGCTATTCACCCTCCTTTCCACCTGGAGGAGGTGCACAGGATAGTAATTTTACAGAAGTTAACAGGGTGGAGACTGGCCCAACTGAGGACAGGGAATTTGAACGTGAAGTAGGAAACTGGTCTTAGACCCTCATGTCCACACTCGACACCCCCAGCTCCTCCCGGTGGCCCGTGGTGGTGCCAGCACCTCCAGATGGGAAAGCAGAGCCCACACAGGGAGCTGGAGTCTGACCGAGCCTGGGCAGAACCACGGGGCCAGCAAGGTGTGGACAAGAGCCGGGGCAGAACCACGGGGCCAGCACGGCGTGGATGAGAGCCGGGGCAGAACCACGGGGCCAGCACGGCGTGGACAAGAGCCGGGGCAGAACCACGGGGCCAGCACGGCGTGGACGAGAGCCTGGGGCAGAACCACGGGGCCGGCACGGTGTGGACGAGAGCCGGGGCAGAACCACGGGGCTGGGACGGTGTGGACGAGAGCCGGGGCAGAACCACGGGGCCAGCACGGTGTGGACGAGAGCCGGGGCAGAACCGTGGGGCCGGCACGGCGTGGACGAGAGCCGGGGCAGAACCACGGGGCCAGCACGGCGTGGACGAGAGCCGGGGCAGAACCACGGGGCCAGCACGGCGTGGACGAGAGCCGGGGCAGAACCACGGGGCCGGCATGGTGTGGACGAGAGCCCGGGCAGAACCGAGGGGCCCAGGGCGGTCAGGGTGCACGACTCAGCGTCCCGCATGCACCACATGGGGTGTGCTCCTGCTTGGACTTACCTGTACCGTCTGGACCGTGTAGATTTTCTTCAGGTTTGATGCGCACTCGGCTGCTGTGGCCCCAGGGAGAGATCTAAGTGAACAAGCAAAAGGGCAGAGACAGCAGCAAGCAGTCAGTGTGCGTGCACCAGTCCACAGGAACCTGCAGGCATCAGGCAAGTCGGGCTAGACCCTCCGACTCACATTCCTGGGACCTATTTACAATTTAAGATGTGAAATTCCTACTTTCTGAAGTCATGGGTTTGCTTTTCTAAAAATAAACTTACTCATTCTGTGGGAATTTAGTAGAAAAAACCTGAAATGTATCTAAGAAAGGTATTGGAAACCTCAAAATCACATTTTAAAAAACCCTAAAATAACCTTGTAATGACCAAGCCTTTTGCCTAAGACTTTGGACAAGAAAGTGTGCCTATGCCCAGGTGACCATGACAATGCAGGGTCCTGACTGGTTCCCTGTGTGAAGCCTATAGGCTCCGTGGCAAATGTGAACTTGAGAGGCAGGCGTCTGTGCGCGGAGGACACATATGACCGAGGTCACCTTTGTGACCCAGGGACTTGCATGTGTGCCCAAAACACTTGCCTTTGGGAAAGTCAGTTAATTTCCGTGGCTGATTGAATTAGCTCTGCGATCTCTGTGGTCAGAATACGTTAATCTTCCATTTGCCCATGTTCCACTAGATGGCAACATACTACGGCTTATTCAGTAGAAAGCCAGGCAGCTGCCTGGGACGGGTAACATGACATGACGTCATCAATCCTTAGAAAACTCTGTGACATACACGCTTTCTTTCTCCCTACATGGAATCAGCAGTTCTTGCTCAAAAATGATGTGCCCGCTACATCAGACCTAAGGTGAGAATTCACACTCAAAATAATGCTTCCCAGCACCATGTCTGTTCACTGGCCAGACAGAGGCGTGCTGAGGGCGCGTGCTGGCTCGTGGCTGACCCACAGGGATCGATGAAAGGGACGCTCTTTACCGACCCTCAGAGGCAGACCCAGGTCCTTAAGAAGGTGAACTCCGTGGATCAGCCATTGCCAACCTTTCAGACCTCACAGACCATCAGTGGTCTGTGGACCCCCGGATCGTGACCGCTGCCTGGGATGGTCGTCAGGCACTGACACTGGGATGTGCATAAAACTCATAGCTCAGGTGAGGGAGGGCCGAGCAAGAGCCAGGCCCAGGTGCCTGGTTCTATGGGGGACACGAGGCGTGTCAGGGTTCTACAGGTGACATTCGGTAACTATGGACCAATGAATGATCCCTGGGTGTCGAACCTGAATGCCAGAGACACATTTCTGAAATCAGCACCCTGGCCTGGAGGTTGCTGAGTAAGCAGTTAAAGATCAGTTTGAGGACAAACAGGGATCCTTGTTGAGCAGGTAAAGTCTGATAAACTTCTCTGCAGCACTGGGTGTACAACTCATTTCTAGTTTTCATAAAGAAGCTGGACACTATTTTTGAAAAAGCAAATCCACAATAACCACCACGATTGCACATTGCTGCCTGTCTTAAAGCCTCCTACGTATGCTGAGAGCGCGGGGAGCGCGGCACTTCCTCAGTGCCGGAGCCTCGTCCACCGTGTATCCGGGCCGTCTGGGCTGGTGGCGGTGAGGGCTGACTTGGACAAACATTGATTTGTGTTTAATGCAGGCCTTTACACTGTTGTTGGCTAAGATTATGAAAACAGTGGCGGGGGGAGGGGCTTTTTAAAAAAACCTTGATTTTTTTCTGAAGAGATATGCACGTGAAAATTTTATTGCTTTTATATGAAAATCTCCTGGCACTTTTTCCCTTTGAAAAGTTTAGCTGGCCCCCCGCCCCCCGCCCCCCACAGCAGAGGATGCACGCGTGCAGGGCTCTCTGTCGGGAGAGGGGTTGCGGTCCAAAGGAAGTAAATGGACTTTCTATTTTTTCATTTTAAAATTACGTATTTCAAATTTTTACTAATTTTTAAAGTTCCACCACAATTTATAATGGTTTAGATGAGAATAATTTGAATGTTCACCTCATAGCATTACGTCAACTGAAGCAGACACATTGTGAGGACCCGCCTTCTAACCTAGAAGGAAGTTCACTGGCGACCTGCCACTCACACTCTCACGCAGGAGACCATCATACAAAGTCACTTAGGTCCCCTCAGTTTCACATTTTTGGAGACATTTTTTCCTTCTAATTTTTTGGAAGAAATCTAGTTTCCAGTCTATAAAAGGGCTCTAGAATGAAACAAGGACTAGGCAGTGCTGCTCGGTGTTTAAAACAACAACGCCAGCAGCTAGTGTGTACGAAATGAATGCACTACGGCAGCGAGTCCTTGCGAGACTACTTACATAGCTGTCAATATTATTTCTTACTATTGTACAGGTGAGCAAGCCAGAATTTAGAGAGGTTTGGTAACGTGCCTGAGGCCACAGAAACCTAATCAGAATACAGGTGACCCATCTGAGATTTCCTGCTCTGTACCCCTGACTTTCCAGTGAAGCCCTACTTACATTTTTAAGGGGATTTTGCAACTGATTCTAGGTGTGTTCTCATTCAGGCCACAGTCTTTGCTGAATCCCATTTTTTTAAAAATACATTTTTATTGATTTCAGAGAGGAAGGGAGAAGGAGAGAGAGAAACATCAATGATGAGAGAGAATCATTGATCGGCTGCCTCCCGCACGCCCCCTACTGGAGATCGAGCCCACAACCTGGGCATGTGCCCTTGACTGGAATCGAATCTGGGACCCTTCAGTCCACAGGCTGACGTTCTATCCACTGAGCCAAACCAGCTAGGGCTGAATCCCATTTTTAATATGAGGTTGTGTCCATATAACTTCCTTAGCATCGTTTTTCCAACGGAGGGGGGTTGGGGGGAGGCCACACTGACACCAGCAGGCTCCTGCTCCACAACAGCTCCATTCCGATTAACATCTCCCGATGCTGACCCATTGCTGTTTGAAAGATGTCAGGTTCTACGGAAACTAATTTTTCTAATTTCTGGATTCTGATGGAAGGCTCCTTACAACTGCTGCAGCTTTATGAATATCCAGGCATCAAAGTAACAGAACGGAGTTGTCGGAACTTCCGATGGTAGTAGATGTCTGGCTTGGCCTGTGCATGGCATGGCATTACTCTGTGCGCCACAGCTGATTCCGACAGTCACTGCCAAGTGCCCATGTGCCTAACCTCATATCTGAACCTCGGACCTCTTCAAGGGCAAGGCTGGGCCAGAGCCACAGAATGACGTTGAAGGGGCAAACAAAGCAGGTTTCTAAGTGACGGCGCCTTGCGAACAGACCAGTGTGTGCTGGACTTGCTGGTTCAATGTGGACCCACAAGCTGGATCGTCTACGCTTCCTGGCTCTTCAGGCGGCAGTGCAGGCGGCTGAGGGCAGAGCTGCAGCCCTGGCAGCCGAGCCACACCTGCTCTTCCCTCTTATGCCAACAGATAGTGTAGCAACTGGAAGGTCCCTGTCTGTGGTGGATGTCCATTAAACAAACAGCTGTACTTGCATCACACGTACACTGTATTCTATCTTTTTTGTTGTTAATCCTCACCTAAGGATCTTGTTTCCATTTGTTTTTAGAGAGTGGAAGGGAGGGGGAGAGACACAGAGAGAGAAACATCGATGTAAGAAACATCTGGCTAGTGCCCACCCAGCACACTGAAGACACATCGATTGGTTGCCTCCTGCACATGCCCTGACCAGGGCTGAGGATCGAGCCTGCAACCAAGGTATGTGCCCTTGACGGGGATCAAACCTGTGACCCTTCAGTCCAAGGGGCAACACTCTAATCAATGAGAAAACTGGCCAGACCTATTCTCCTATCTTTTAAAGGTCTTTTTATTTCAAATCTTCCAAGAGAACCCTAACTGAACCCTCTCTCTACAGGCCAAGAATGCTCCTCTGTGGTGTGGCCCAGGGGACACTGGCACAGCCACAGACAGTCATCGCGACTGAATGGGATGCTGCTGGCCTCATGGCTGGAGGCCAGGCTGCTGCTGAGCCTCCTGCAGTGCACACGCCAGCCCTCAACACGGAAGCATTAGTCCCGAACGCCATGGAGTCAAGGCTGAGAAGCCCTGCGAGCACGTCGCAAGTTTCAGAGGATTTATCATTTATTCAGTCAACAGATTCACTGCACACCTCCCAGCTGAGGGAACAGAGACAGAGCCCTTGTCCCCGCAGAGTTTAGAACTGGCTGTCTGCTTTCTGAATCCCCTACTCCCGAAGGCAAAAGAACAATGTTTAAATCCTCTTTTATTTGCCTGGGACAGAGGCAGCGGGAGAAGCAGCTGAGAGAGGAATAGATACATAGACTTGGAGCATTCGTAGGAGATATAGGCAGAGCTGGTGAAAACCACAGCTGGGGAGTCAGGACCTATTTCACACATGGAGCTCTGTGCCCCCTCCGTGCGCTCAGTGGGGGCTGAGACAGCTCTGGGACTCTAACTGCCCTGCATGAGCAGGTGAGGAGTTTGAACTGTTTCTCCAGGAGTTTTCTTTCTGATTTAATGATATTACTGTGACAATGGCTTCCTTTTGTTGAGCACATGCAATATGTAAGGGTTTTACATATATTATTTCAAGCCCTTACAGCAATCCTGCCAAGTTGGTATTATTATCCTCACTTTATAGATCAGGAAATTAAGGCTTAGTGAGCCTGTCTCTTGGCAGACCTGGGTCCTTTCTCTGGTCTGCCTGGCTTGATGAGGACGCCTCTCGGTGAAAACCAAGCGGTCACTGTCAGCATGGGCAGTCACATACAGAACATGGGATCACAAATACCTCTCTCGCCCCACCTTAAGTTATATTCCCCCTTCTTGGGCCCACCCCCTGCTCTTGCCTGTTGTCCTCGCCTCTCCCACCACCCATCTAGTCCCCAGTGGGCAGAAGCAGAGGTGCAAGGCAGGGTGAGATGCTGCCAGAGTCCCTGGCAATAATGCCTCCCCAACATGTGCTGCAAGGTGTGCAGCTCAGGAAGAAATCTGCAGGTCGTTTCCTGGGGCTGGACATGAGAAGAAAATAACTGACCAACCAAAAGCCACTGATAGGCTGCAGCAGAAAGACAGGAAAACAAAGGGGTGGAGATGAACCGGCTAGTGCCCCCCAGCATACTGAGGAAGTGTAGTTAATATTAACTGGTTAAAGTGAGAAAGACGTTTCAGCTTTATACCT